GAAAACGTTCAGTAGAGACGTCCCATAGAACATTTTGCGAAACACAATAGCCAGCATGTGTAGTTCTGGGGGGGCGTTCGATTCCAGTTTTGGATAGTCTGGCGTGGGTGGTTTCGTTCCATTTCACACAGCTGTTTGACGCTCTGCGTAACCTTACGGGGACTGTAGTCCTAAATGATAGCTGGGGATTATGGGTAGTGTAGTGTCTTCGGCCATCCGAAACTCAGAAACGTTGACAATCGCAATGATGCTCGAAATGTCCCTTATAGGCCTACGTCTGTTTCCGGTTATTTTTATTTTGAAATTCAGTTCCTGACGGACGCCAAAAAAGCCAGAGATTATGGAATTAAACCAATAAATAAAAGCAAGGATAATTGTGTGTTATTGGTGAGTAAATAACAGTGTGTTATTTTGAAAAGATTAACGAATTAGAAGGAAAAAAATATTTAAAAATACAGATTTCCGTATTCTGAGGCTCTGATCCCCATTTATTTTCCTCACAGACGGCAACAAAAGTCCGAAATTATACGATTTAAAATAAAAGCAATAATTGTGGCTTGATAAGAACATGCTTTTATGAACCACACAGCTTCCGGTCTCCCACGACCCGACCGGAGAAAAAGACGTGCTGCAGGCAGTATAAAATTGCTTTTACATTGCTTTTAAAATCGTGCTGTGAACACGAATCAATAGATTAAAAATCGTGTTGGTGAACACGAAATGCCGTGAGACTGGGTTGGTTGGTCACAGCAAATACATTTTTGGTTAAATGCCAAACATAAGGTCTGTGGTTAACACAAACTGAAGAGATTGTAACGTTTTGTTCTACAAAAGAAAATATGTCAGTAAATACCCCAGTGATAAAAGCGGTTGTTCACAAGTGACTAAGTGAGACAACTAAACTTCATAGTGTAAACATTAGCCGCCTTTAGCTTAGCAATGGTGAAGTCATGCTACTGTCAACGTTTTTACTTCTGAAGATTGCATTGACACTTTAAACAGTAGGCTACCTATCATGTAAAATGCTCTTCTTCATGTCTCCTCTACATCAACATGTGTTCCCTCTTCTTCATGTCTCTTCTACATCAACATGTGTCCTCTCTTCTTCATGTCTCTTCTACATCAACATGTGTCCCCTCTTCTTCATGTCTCTTCTACATCAACATGTGTCCTCTCTTCCTCATGTCTCTTCTACATCAACATGTGTCCCCTCTTCTTCACGTCTCTTCTACATCACCATGTGTCCCCTCTTCTTCACGTCTCTTCTACATCAACATGTGTCCCCTCTTCTTCACGTCTCTTCTTCATCAACATGTGTCCCCTCTTCTTCATGTCTCTTCTACATCAACATGTGTCCCCTCTTCTTCATGTCTCTTCTACATCAACATGTGCCCCCTCTTCTTCATGTCTCTTCTACATCAACATGTGTCCCCTCTTCTTCATGTCTCTTCTACATCAACATGTGTCCTCTCTTCTTCATGTCTCTTCTACATCAACATGTGTCCCCTCTTCTTCATGTCTCTTCTACATCAACATGTGTCCACTCTTCTTCATGTCTCTTCTACATCAACATGTATCCCCTCTTCTTCATGTCTCTTCTACATCAACATGTGTCCCCTCTTCTTCATGTCTCTTCTACATCAACATGTGTCCCCTCTTCTTCATGTCTCTTCTACATCAACATGTGTCCCCCTCTTCTTCATGTCTCTTCTACATCAACATGTGTCCCCTCTTCTTCATGTCTCTTCTACATCAACATGTGTCCCCTCTTCTTCATGTCTCTTCTACATCAACATGTGGTCCCCTCTTCTTCACGTCTCTTCTACATCAACATGTGTCCCCTCTTCTTCATGTCTCTTCTACATCAACATGTGTCCCTCTTCTTCATGTCTCTTCTACATCAACATGTGTCCCCTCTTCTTCATGTCTCTTCTACATCAACATGTGTCCCCTCTTCAACATCAACATGTGTCCCCTCTTCTTCATGTCTCTTCTACATCAACATGTGTCTCCTCTTCTTCATGTCTTTTCTACATCAACATGTGTCCCCTCTTCTTCATGTCTCTTCTACATCAACATGTGTCCCCTCTTCTCCATGTCTCTTCTACATCAACATGTGTCCCCTCTTCTTCATCAACATGTGTCCCCTCTTCTTCATCAACATGTGTCCTCTCTTCTTCATGTCTCTTCCACATCAACATGTGTCCCCTCTTCTTCATGTCTCTTCTACATCAACATGTGTCCCCTCTTCTCCATGTCTCTTCTACGTCAACATGTGTCCCCTCTTCTTCATGTCTCTTCTACATCAACATGTGTCCCCTCTTCTTTATGTCTCTTCTACATCAACATGTGTCCCCTCTTCTTCATGTCTCTTCTACATCAACATGTGTCCCCTCTTCTTCATGTCTCTTCTACATCAACATGTGTCCCCCTCTTCTTCATGTCTCTTCTACATCAACATGTGTCCCCTCTTCTTCATGTCTCTTCTACATCAACATGTGTCCCCTCTTCTTCATGTCTCTTCTACATCAACATGTGTCCCCTCTTCTTCATGTCTCTTCTACATCAACATGTGTCCCCTCTTCTTCATGTCTCTTCTACATCAACATGTGTCCCCTCTTCTTCATGTCTCTTCTACATCAACATGTGTCCCCTCTTCTTCATGTCTCTTCTACATCAACATGTGTCCCCTCTTCTTTATGTCTCTTCTACATCAACATGTGTCCCCTCTTCTTCATGTCTCTTCTACATCAACATGTGTCCCCCTCTTCTTCATGTCTCTTCTACATCAACATGTGTCCCTCTTCTTCATGTCTCTTCTACATCAACATGTGTCCCCTCTTCTTCATGTCTCTTCTACATCAACATGTGTCCCCTCTTCTTCATGTCTCTTCTACATCAACATGTGTCCCCTCTTCTTTATGTCTCTTCTACATCAACATGTGTCCCCTCTTCTTCATGTCTCTTCTACATCAACATGTGTCCCCTCTTCTTCATGTCTCTTCTACATCAACATGTGTCCCCTCTTCTTCATGTCTCTTCTACATCAACATGTGTCCCCTCTTCTTCATGTCTCTTCTACATCAACATGTGTCCCCTCTTCTTCATGTCTCTTCTACATCAACATGTGTCCCCTCTTCTTCATGTCTCTTCTACATCAACATGTGTCCCCTCTTCTTCATGTCTCTTCTACATCAACATGTGTCCCCTCTTCTTCATGTCTCTTCTACATCAACATGTGTCCCCCTCTTCTTCATGTCTCTTCTACATCAACATGTGCCCCCTCTTCTTCATGTCTCTTCTACATCAACATGTGTCCCCTCTTCTTCATGTCTCTTCTACATCAACATGTGTCCTCTCTTCTTCATGTCTCTTCTACATCAACATGTGTCCCCTCTTCTTCATGTCTCTTCTACATCAACATGTGTCCACTCTTCTTCATGTCTCTTCTACATCAACATGTATCCCCTCTTCTTCATGTCTCTTCTACATCAACATGTGTCCCCTCTTCTTCATGTCTCTTCTACATCAACATGTGTCCCCTCTTCTTCATGTCTCTTCTACATCAACATGTGTCCCCTCTTCTTCATGTCTCTTCTACATCAACATGTGTCCCCTCTTCTTCACGTCTCTTCTACATCAACATGTGTCCCCTCTTCTTCACGTCTCTTCTACATCAACATGTGTCCCCTCTTCTTCACGTCTCTTCTACATCAACATGTGTCCCCTCTTCTTCACGTCTCTTCTACATCAACATGTGTCCCCTCTTCTTCACGTCTCTTCTACATCAACATGTGTCCCCTCTTCTTCATGTCTCTTCTACATCAACATGTGTCCCCTCTTCTTCATGTCTCTTCTACATCAACATGTGTCCCCTCTTCTTCATGTCTCTTCTACATCAACATGTGTCCCCTCTTCTTCATGTCTCTTCTACATCAACATGTGTCTCCTCTTCTTCATGTATTTTCTACATCAACATGTGTCCCCTCTTCTTCATGTCTCTTCTACATCAACATGTGTCCCCTCTTCTTCATGTCTCTTCTACATCAACATGTGTCCCCTCTTCTCCATGTCTCTTCTACATCAACATGTGTCCCCTCTTCTCCATGTCTCTTCTACATCAACATGTGTCCCCTCTTCTTCATGTCTCTTCTTCATCAACATGTGTCCCCTCTTCTTCATGTCTCTTCTACATCAACATGTGTCCCCTCTTCTTCATGTCTCTTCTACATCAACATGTGTCCCCTCTTCTTCATGTCTCTTCTACATCAACATGTGTCCCCTCTTCTTCATGTCTCTTCTACATCAACATGTGTCCCCTCTTCTTCATGTCTCTTCTACATCAACATGTGTCCCCTCTTCTTCATGTCTCTTCTACATCAACATGTGTCTCCTCTTCTTCATGTATTTTCTACATCAACATGTGTCCCCTCTTCTTCATGTCTCTTCTACATCAACATGTGTCCCCTCTTCTTCATGTCTCTTCTACATCAACATGTGTCCCCTCTTCTCCATGTCTCTTCTACATCAACATGTGTCCCCTCTTCTCCATGTCTCTTCTTCATCAACATGTGTCCCCTCTTCTTCATGTCTCTTCCACATCAACATGTGTCCCAGTAACAGACAGAGAATCAGCACTTTGGAAACAGGGCTGAAACAGAGGGGATAATGGGTAATGCTGCAATCATCTGTTTGGTGTTTCAGCCAATCAGAGACAGGTTCTGTATATATCTGGAGACCTGGAATATATTGATGAAAGACAGTATAATAGGGGACCTTTAACAAGAATTATCCTGCTAAGCAAAACTTGGAAGTATGATCAATGTTTTTCTTCCCATGCTAACTTTCCGGCCCTCAAAAATATGTCATCACTGCATCCCTCAATTGCATCAGTGATAAGGAATATGATCTACAAAATCATCAACATAATATTGTGTCTGACAGGCTTTTTGCAATCTGCTGCCATGTTTATAAATGCACCTAATCCCTTTCTGTTGCAGGTGCTGATCCCCATTTCTCTGTACGTGTCCATTGAGGTTGTGAAACTGGGCCAGATCTACTTCATCCACAATGACCTAGCCCTGTACAACCAGCAGCTGGACTCTAGGATCCAGTGCCGGGCCCTGAACATCACAGAGGACCTGGGTCAGATCCAGTACCTGTTCTCTGATAAGACAGGAACTCTGACAGAGAACAAGATGGTGTTCCGCCGCTGTAGTATCTACGGGGTGGAATATCCTCATGAGGAAAACGGTAAGAACCGATAATATACACTGCTAGAAAGCTTTGTCTTTTTGCCCCCTTTGTTGCAGACAAAGGAATGGCCTAATTAGAGTTCCAGCAGGAACAATGAGATATTTTTAGTGCAATAAACTGACAGGCAATATGGGGAATGGGGAGGGCGCCAAGAAAACAGGTGTCCAATAGGCTCTGATCGTTACAATGTGTGCTAGACTTGTAATCATAGTCATAGTGTTGAAAGGGGGAGACAGAGGATGACATATTGAAATGACAAATCAATCAATCGTTGATTATCATTGGTAATTCTATGTGTGAACGACAGGACAAAATGAACTCTGTAATTCCACTGCAAAATCAAACAAGTGAAAGTGAAATGTCTTCCATATTCAAACTGTAAACATGTTCTCAACCAGCACCATGAGTATTTGGAAACAATACACTTATACAAGATGTATCCTTTCAGGAGACTTCAGCTGTTTTTCAGTTTGTCAGATAGCCTTCAAGTTTAATCGGAAATGATGTAAATACAGTATCAAATAAGACAAGGACATTCCCATTGCTGGTTTTAACTGCTTTCAGTGTAAAAAGACAAAAAAGGCATGAGAAAAGATTTTTTTTTTAATCAAAAATGCACACAGAGAGAAGAAAAGTAGCTGCATTGAAACGTAAATATTGATCAAATCGAAATGACAAACTCAGCAGCCGTGCACCAAACATAAACGATAACTCTAAAACTGACAGACTTATACAATATCCAGTGTGTGATGATCAGGTAATTATGGGATTTTTAAGCGGTGCAATTCTTTGTCTTTGCAGATTAGCTAACAAAATCTGACTTTGTTTTGTTAAGATACCTAGTACTGACAAAATATTTAAAAAGACAGATATTGCGATGCTGGACAAACATTAGAGCAAATATCTTCAATGAAATGAGAGGCAGATGATAGAGAGAGGGTGACATCACAACAAATAATTGAGACAAATTAAACCCATCAATCACACCTCATATATCAATACGATGTCATTATCTGTTTATAAGTGCACGGTCCATATTAGTGTGTGTGTGTGTGTGTGTGTGTGTGTGTGTGTGTGTGTGTGTGTGTGTGTGTGTGTGTGTGTGTGTGTGTGTGTGTGTGTGTGTGTGTGTGTGTGTGTGTGTGTGTGTGTGTGTGTGTGTGTGTGTGTGTGGTGTGTGTGTCAGCTCGGAGGCTGGAGGTGTATGAGGCTGACAGGAGTGAGGAGGGGTCCGGTCGCTCGGTGACCCTGCAGTCGGGCCGTAGCAGATCTCTGAGCTGCAGACACAGCTCCGTGTCTCTGCACACACTCACTGCTGAGGAGGAGGAGGAGGAAGAGGAGCTGACCAATCACAGCCAGCCCAGCACCAGAGCCTTCTGCAGCCGCGTGGTCAGTCTGTCACACACACAGTGATGCACACACACACACACACACACACACACACACACACACACACACACACACACACACACACACACACACACACACACACACACACACACACACACACACACACACACACACACACGTACCTCCAACCCACTTCATATGTCTACAAGCAAACATGATGCTTAAAGACATCTCATTGTATAGAGTGGTGCAGGAAAGAGTCCTAAACCTGAACATTAGTCAGCATTTTAGCACTTCTTGTTTAGAAATGCATGTTTTTTTAAAATGAGTTTTTGGTTAGTGTCCTGAAATAAGGTTTGTGGGTAATACAAACTTATGATATCTTTACATAAATTACATCAGTAAATACAACACTTTTCAATGTCTGAAGCTTTTGGATGTCACAAGGAGGGCGGTTCCTCACAAGTGGCTAAATGAGACTACTAGACGCCAAACACGATACCGCCTTTAGCTTAGCAATGGGATTTGAAGGCACACAACCGTCATGTGGTCCGTATTGTATATAGCCAAACATTAGCTATTGACTTCTGTCGAAAAATCTCATTGCTTTTTGTCCAGGAAACCCTTGTGATAACTAACTTCTGGCTCAGGTGACAATAATACAATATCCCTGCAGCACTCTATTGTAACCTGTCAATATGAGAAACATGCTCTAGCTACAGTATGATGCATGATCCCATGTTCAGGCGAAGGAGGTGCTGCCGGACCCTGAGCTGGTGAGGAAGCTCAACTGGTTCCTCTCCCCTGCGCTGGCTCTGAGTGACGGCTCCTCTGGGGCCTCCTCCAGCCTGGAGCTCACCTACATCACTGACTTCTTTCTGGCTCTGGCCATCTGTAACAGCGTGGTGGTGTCCTCTGCCAGCCAGCCGCGACACGTGGTGGGTACATGTTAACTTCACAGCTAGGGTCAAGATTAAATGTGTACTCGTTGTACTAGGCTTTCACTTGTTTATATGGCTTGGTTCACTTTAGCCTGTAGTACTGTCTGAACATGCTCTGATTAGCTGCTGAGTGCAATAAAGAAAATGTGAAAAAACCTTCTTTAGAGGAAATGCAGATTTAATTGATTTCTTACGGCCCCTACACACGGCGGCGTGCGTTGAAGCCGGTGAGCTTGTCTGAAGCTGGACCAACAACCAATCACATGAATCTCCCGCCCCGGACACACAAGCGCGGTTTGATTGGCTAGAGCTTGTACTGGCATATGATTTGATTGTCTGACGCTTCTGTCGAAGCTTCAAAAGTAGAACATTGCTCTACTTTTGAAGCGAGCAACTCGATGCAATTCGGCAAAGCGTGACGTCACCCCATTCAAAGTGAATGGGCAGAAGCGTTGAAGCTTCAGCGCACGCCGCCGTGTGGACGTTAGAGTAGTATATAACACACACATACTGTACACTTGTTGCCTAGCAGCCACGCTCTTTGTAGACCAGTCCTCCAGCAGTTACTGTCTTTGTATGGACTTGTCCTTTAGCAGGAGTACTCTCTTGTAGACTTGTCTTCCACATTGACAATTTCTATTCATTGTTGTGCTCATCATTCAGTGAGCTATTTTTCGAAAGTGCACGCGAGACCTGGTAGCGTGCACGCGTCCACAGAGCAGTGTGTCCTGCTCTGACAGCTTGCAGTTAAAAAAAGAATAAACACATTTGAAAGTGGGGGGACACAAACTGTCCCCAGTGGAAATGACGCCCATGGGTGTTAATTCATCTGTTTTGGGGATTGGCTGTGGAAGAACGTGAGGGGAGGGGCCTGGACATGTTTTAGATTTCTTACATAAGTTGATCCCATTCTCTTTGTTGTCTTTTTCCTGCAGGTGCGTGAAGAACAGACCCCTCTCAAGTCCCTGGAGGAAATCAAGACGATGTTCCAGCGCCTGAGCTTCTCTCCGTTCTCAGCCCTCTCCATCCTCTCCCCTCCCCAGATCAAAGCCAGCCCCCACACCCTCGCCCACCGGATGTTTGCCAGGGGGAAGACCGGCTCGCTGGACTTCCCCCCCCCCAATAACAGCACCACGGACAAGTCAGAATCAAGCCTGGAGGGCACCCTGGAAACCTCCAGCCTGAGACCTAAACCGGACCTATCTTCGAGAGTCATGGAAGGGAACTCCGGACAGACGGCTGGCAGGGAGGTAAAGGATGATGTCATAGATTCAAAGACGGACGGGGCCAGGCAGGATGCGGAGGACTTGACCCTAGAAGAGGATTGTAAGAGTGAGGCTGATGAAGAGCTGCTGTACGAGGCGGAGAGTCCGGACGAGGCGGCCCTGGTCCACGCGGCCCAGGCGTACTGCTGCACCCTGAGGGGCCGCTCGGCAGAGAGCCTGACGGTGGATCTGCCTGGGATCGGCTCCCTGTCCGTCCCCCTGCTCCACATCCTGCCCTTCGACTCAGACAGGAAGAAGATGTCCGTGGTGGTCCGCCACCCGCTCACAGGACAGGTGGTGGTCTACACCAAGGGAGCCGACTCCGTCATCATGGACCTGACGGGGGCACCAAAAGGTTGTTAACCGAGTGACTGGGAGCTGAAATACTTGGTCTTTGCCTGACAGGTGTAACAGCAACTTGTCCTTCTGGTGTGTTCAGGTGCAGATGAGGCTCAGGAGATCTACAGACACATCAGAGAACAAACCCAAAACCACTTAGACAGCTATGCCAGAGAAGGCCTCCGCACACTCTGCATCGCCAAAAAGGTATCGCTTCAGGAAGGCCAAACAAAATAACTTTGTTCATTAAAAATGATCTTGAACATTTTCACACACATTATTTACTATAATGGAATCCTGTGGCTATAAACAGAAGTTAAGGGGTAGAGATTTAAACTGTGTATTGCCCACTGTATTACAGCATTTCTAAGCCTAAAGTACATTGACTAGGGTTAGAAATATTGACATGTGTTGCCACTTGTGTGTGAGCACATTTTAATGTGGCATGGTAAGTTCATGTCACAACGTGTGTGTGTGTGTGTGTGTGTGTGTGTGTGTGTGTGTGTGTGTGTGTGTGTGTGTGTGTGTGTGTGTGTGTGTGTGTGTGTGTGTGTGGTGTGTGTGTGTGTGTGTGTGTGTGTGTGTGTGTGTGTGTGTGTGTGTGTGTGTGTGTGTGTGTGTGTGTGTGTGTGTGTGTGTGTGTGTGTGTGTAGGTTCTGGAAGAAGAGGAGTACCAGGTGTGGCTGAAGGGCCAGCTGCGAGCAGAGAGCAGCATAGAGAGCAGAGAGGAGCTGCTGATGGAGTCTGCTCTCAGACTGGAGACCAGCCTCACTCTGCTGGGTGAGAGACACTGACGCAGCTTGAAAAGAATTGATAGGAACGCTATATAACAAGAATGACATCATCAGGTCCCGTCTACAGAATTGTGCATGATGCAAAAACATATTACGCACCTCTCTGCTGTAACTCCTACGACAAATCATTCCAGTCGGCTTTATATACTGTACAAATATATCCATACCATCAGAGCAATGGCTTCCCATTGTTGATGTATTGTCTACTTAGCATATTTGTGATACACTTAAAAATGTGCTGACAGGAAATAATTTTCACTGGACAATAGGACCGGAATCATTTACATGTGTCGGACTACAGTGACTTACAGTTATTTGTGTGTGTGTGTGTGTGTGTGTGTGTGTGTGTGTGTGTGTGTGTGTGTGTGTGTGTGTGTGTGTGTGTGTGTGTGTGTGTGTGGTGTGTGTGTGTGTGTGTGTGTGTGTGTGTGTGTGTGTGTGTGTGTGTGTGTGTGTGTGTGTGTGTGTGTGTGTGGTGTGTGTGTGTGTGTGTGTGTGTGTGTGTGTGTGTGTGTGTGTGTGTGTGTGTGTGTGTGTGTGTGTGTGTGTGTGTGTGTGTGTGTGTGTGTGTCCAGGCAGCACAGGCATCGTGGACAGACTGCAGGAAGAAGTCCCGGAGACGATAGAAGCTCTTCAGAAAGCTGGGATCAAAGTGTGGATCCTCACTGGAGACAAAAAGGAAACAGCCGTCAACATCGCCTACGCCTGCAAACTGCTGGGTCCCAACGACCAGCTGCTGACAGCCAGCTGTGGGAGCAAGGTCAGCGGTGGGGGGTGGCAGGTGGGGGGTGGCAGGGTTCAGCATGTGTGCTGGATTTAATGAGTAAAGTTTAAAAGTTCAAGCTCTGCTTGTTTATCCAGATCCCCAACGCTCATTCTGCAGGTGCTTGAGTCTAAATGACAAGTCGTGGATATGATTGATTTATATAGTTTCAGCAATGTCAGTTGTCTTAGTGTACACACGGTAGCTGTCAATATGCTTTAACCCTACTAGTAGATGTGTTGTGAGTAAAAGTCATGCTGCATTGTAGTCTATGTTAACATCAGTTTCGTGGTTATTAGGGTAAGGGTTTAAAAGCAAACATCTAATAAAACGAACCCCCAAAGCAAACTTCCACGAGCTCTCCATTGATTTCAGAACAGTAGAAAGTCTACATTTCTTCCGTCGCAGACTAAAAAAACACCCGTTTCATTTGAACCTTGGCCCCATTTGAAACCAATGCTCTTACAATGGTTTGGCCTATTTGAAGCAAATATATCTTTTTCCTGAGTTTGTACCTTTATGGTTTATTGGCCTTATTTTAAGTTGCATTGGATAAAAGCGTCAGAGAAATGAAATGTAATTGAATGTAATGTGAAGCTAGCGATTTACCTCCTCTCTCCCCCCTAAAATAACACAAGTTCAGTTAAAAACTCAAATGATTACCCAAAATAATGATCCGATTACTAAATCTAAAACAGTGAGAAAATACATTTGATCAAGTAGTACAAAGGAATGATTAGCTCCGTCACTGGAGGGTTGCTAACAGGAGGCTAACATAATGACTGTCAATCTGTTTGCTCACTACTGCTTTTAAATGTCTAAGTTTTGATCTTGCTTGTAGAGAAAAATATCAATGCATTTAATTCAAATAACATAAATAGGTAACACTTTTATCCTATTGGACTTTGTCAACCATTAAGTTACAAAATCAAAAAGTAAGGATGCTGCATAGACATTACCATTCAACATTTAAGCTCTACGTACCAGAGATGTTCACAAGTCTTTTTTTGCAAGTCCAAGTCAAGTCTTAAGTCTTTGGTCACGAGTCCAAGTCAAGTCTCAAGTCTTTGTGGGGTGAGACTTGATCAAGTCTCAAGTCTTTGGTCACGAGTCCAAGTCAAGTCTCAAGTCTCTAAAAAATAAAAGTCTCATGTCTCTTCTGGTTGTAATAAGCCTTCTATTGTCTGCTGCTATCCAGTCTGTTAAGAATACTGCACAGCTATATCTAAGACATTCAAAGCATTTACTGTATTATTATCACTCCTATATCTATTAGCATACAGTATCAGTACTGATTAGTTGTTTGTTATATGATCACTTTAAACAGGCTATTGCAATGCAATATGAGGAAAAACATCACACTTTAGCTAAATGCAAACAACTTATAAGCAAAACACTTCAGAATCAGAAATCAGTATCACAAATACTTTATTAATCCCCCGCAGGGAAACTGTGTTAAAAGTACTTAAAAGTATACATTTGTTCTGTGCCATATGCAACTAAAAAACTATTGCTGCAATATTATCTGAAATATACTGAACTGGTGATATTAAAACATGACCTGTTCCAAAAGAGATATCTACCATTAACACCATTTACCAGCCAAATGCTGGTAAATCATGCACGTGGCTGGTACTGTATGTTGCACGCACCAGCCAAAAATAACAATGGCAATCTATTGAGTGGCTGGTAACATTTCAACATTCACTAGGCTAGCCATTTGGCCAGTGGACAAAAATGTTAAAATGTGACCTCTGCAACCGTATTGTTTAATTACACTGGGTCTCTAATGACATCTTTTAAGTCTACTATAAATAAACATATTCCTCTATCCTCTCACTCAAACCCAGTGTAATGGTAACCTGATAAACCTGTAACATTAACGTTACGTGGTCAACAATAAACCTGTAACCTGCCTATAAACCGACAGATGTATTTATGTATGTAACTATGTATTTTTCTACGTTTAACGTTAGCCAGTAGATGGTGGCAGCGGAATGTAATGATTAACGTTACCGACCTTTTTTATGTCATGTCAAGAGTTGGATGTCAACGCCACTCAACGCAAACAAGTGTGACAAGCAAACATTCACTCATCTTTTCAAATATTCAGTTACAAAGCTAGTAGCAAGCTAAGTTAACATTATATAGCTGATGCTGAGCTAAACATGTTTGCTAACCGTCCATATGCGTTAATGTGACTGACCTCTCCGGGTGAGTTTTCAAGTGCCTGATGAAATTTGACGTTGTTGCACCAGCATCCTTGATTTTAATATTGCAGACTTTGCAGTGTGCGCTCCTTTTGTTGGTGCCGCCGGCGTTTTGGTCGAAGTTTTTATAGTTGAACCTAATTACAAGCGGTACAGCTGCAGGTATGCCGCCGGTCGCCATGGTGTTACCATAATGTTAATGTTAAAGGTGGGGTAGGTAAGTTTGAGAAACCGGCTCGAGATACACTTTTTGTTATATTCCATGGAATGCTCTTAACATCCCGATAGCCGGCCCGGCTAAAATAACTGGATGGCCTACCAGCCTGTCAGCCTCCCATCGGGGCACAAACGTATCTCGTGCCCTCATTGGTCATGTGCTCGTTCGTGTGTGTTGGAGGAGGGGCTCTGTGAGGAAGTGGCAGATTTTCTCCGGTTGTGTATTTTCAGATTCTAGCGATCTCGAGCCGGTTTCTCAAACTTACCTACCCCCAGTGGCGTTTCTAGGTGTACAAAACTGGGGGGGCAGAAAGAGGTCGGGGGAGAGAGAGAGAGAGAGAGGGGGGGACAGAGAGAGGGAGGAGAGAGAGAGAGGGGGGACAGAGAGAGGGGGGGGAGGAGAGAGGAGAGAGGGGGGAGTGTCAAATTACATACTGAAGACCACAGGAGCAACACTGTGAGCGCATACATTTACGTACACAGCGTGGGGATGTCATAGTAATGCACCTTCATACATGGAGTAAAGGTCACCATCACAAAGTAATTCTTAACAATAACAACAACCGTAATGCTTTAGCATTAAAACACCATAGACTGTAAATATAAGGAAAACAAAGACACTCATCATCGAGGTCACAATATCAATCGATCCAGCAGAGGCAAAACACAGAAGATCAACAAAATATATGACATAAATGAACTTACCAAAGCTGAAGGCTCACTTGAAAAGAAAAGCGGCATGGCGGTCCTTCCTCTGACAGAATGTGTCTATCACTTTGGGGATGAAGTCCTGTAGTTGCTGGATCAACTGGCTTTCAATTGAAAGCATGGCCAATGCGTTAAGTCGCGGCTGTCCCATGGTGTTGCGAGTGAAAGTCTTTATCCTTTTGAGGGTGGAAAAGTTCCTCTCTGACTCGGATGTCGTCATCGGAGTTGTCACTATTATTTTGACCAAAATAACAGTCTCAGCAAACGTTTCCTCCAAGTTGTTCTCGTGAATGGATTTCAACAGAGACAGGGCAGTGTTTCCAGTGTGAAGCTCACTGTGGCGGTAGAGCGTGGTCAGCTCAGACTTCAACTTCTCCTTGTTTCCCAACGCAGGCCACAGTTTCACGGCGCAGTCAAGCTCAGGTGTAGGAAATGACAGGACATGCTGTGGGAAGAATGAGCTGTCAACAAGCTTTGCAGCGATCAAATGGTCACTCTGTGAGAACCTCTGTTCCACCTGTGAGATGACTGTGTCACAAGCCTCCTTCATCACCGGCGCTGTGCTGCTGACTCGTCGGCCTGGCTCGTCTGTTCCATCATGAGCAGTGGCGGCCAATGCATCAGTTTTCTGCCTCATTTTCTGAACATTTTCCTTGAAACGGCAGAGCGCGCTGTTGATCCCAGGTGCATCGATGCTTCGTTTTTGCAGAGTGTTGTATAGAACATCCACTTCTGGCATAAGCAACGAAAAAAACTCCAGGAGCTGCATAAATGCTCGGTCCCGCAGTTTCTTTGACAGGCCGTATGCCTCACTTATGGTGACCGCATCCCATCCTGGTTGTGCGCGTATATGCTTCATACACTGAAGTAGTGCATCTCGGGTCTCCCAAACCGCGTTCACAGTTCTGCTTTTAAAGTTCCATCTCACAGCCGGTGGCCGTGGGATGCGTCTCTGTGTTGCCTCTGCAAGAGCTGCAACACGTTTTGGAGCACCGGAGAAAAAAGTGGAAAAAGCAGTTAGATCTGCAAAAAACACCTTCAGGATGCTCATCCTTGCTGAACACAGTTGCTGCAGGGTCAGGTTCAGTTGGTGAGCGTAGCAGTGAACAAACTGAGCGTTTGGGTACGTCTCCTTCATCACCGTCTGTACCCCGCGCACGTTACCGCTCATGACGGCCGCCCGTCATAGGTCTGAGCGATTAGCTTTTCTTTCAGCTTCAGGGGTTCCAGAACAGCCTTGATGCTGTTAGAGAGACCTACACCAGTTTTGTCCTTTACTTCCACAAACTCCAAAAAACGCTCTGTAACTGTGAGGTCAGGCATAATGTATCGCAGCACAATCACCATTTGCGATTTACAGGAGACATCGGTTGTCTCGTCGGCCTGAACGGCAACAAATGATGTGTTGTCCACTTGCTTGGCTATTTCCTCCCTGTACACATCATACATGCAGTCCAAGAGTTCATTCTGTATGGTGCTTGATGTCCCTTTGAAAACAAGCTGAGCTTCGTAGTGCCGTTGAAGCCTGGAATCGCCCTCACACATTGTCTCGAAAATTGACCTGAATATCCCTGGATTCAGAGAGTCCGCCGACTCGTTGTGGCCCCGCAGTGCTGTCTCACATTTCCCACACAGTTTAATACAGGTGATGATCCGACCAAGCACGTACCTGTTTTCTTCCACCTTCCTATTATGAGAATCAATGCCGCGTCTGTAGGCGCTGTCAATCTGAGCTGCAACATTCACCCTTCCAAGTAATCCCAATTTTACGGCATTTTCCAAATGACTGTTGCTGCTCTCATGCTTCATTGTCCTCTCCGAAAGATGCTTTAAGTCCTTGTAACCTGTCCTCGACCAAGTACCTTGATCTTCACCAAAAAGCAGGCAAGGAAAGCAAAAGAGGGAATTCTTCTGGATACTCGCCGTCAGCCATTTATTTTTAGCAAACCACTCAGCGTTAAACCCACGTTTAACTTTGCCCGCAGTCTGGACCATTTGGAAATCCGGTGGATGGTGGGCACCGAGGCGCTTTACCTCCAGTTTCTCTCCGAGACTAAGTGTCTCAAATGTGTGCTCCAGTAAATGGTCAACTTCATTCATTTTCTTTCAGTTTTTTACTTCTTTTAATCGCTGGTGATGTTAGCTATATGCTGCTCTCTCGTCTCCTCTTCAAACTACACGTGACGTTTCGCAGCACTGCACACGTGAGTACTTACAGCCAATCAATTCTGAATTATGTGAGATGACGTATGGTGGGGATGGGAGCACTATGCCCCTACGGTCATTATTTTTTTGCCACACACATTAAATAGAAAAATACTCTGAGCATGCGCAGTGTAGTTTTTACAATCACCGTTCACTTAGACTGTGAGAGGGAGGGGCAGGATCGGGTTTTGTCCCACATGGCTCTAAACAGCTCAAAACGGCACTCTAGACACTAATTAGAAGAACACAGACTAAAACAGAAATGTACAGACGAATCAGATTATTAAACATGACCTTAAAATATATTTTATATGTTTTTTTATTTATTTTTTAGTATTTTTTTGTAATCATTATTTGTAATACTTTCTTCTGACACTAGGTGGGGCTGTGCCCCACCTGCCCCTAATGACCCGCCGCCACTGCCTACCCCACCTTTAATACGCCAAAAATAGAAAACACAATGATTGTTCACGAGTCCCAAAACACGAGTCCAAGTCGAGTCCGAAGTCTTTTGAGCAGGAGTCCAAGTCAAGTCTGAAGTCTCTGTGTGTGCGACTTAAGTGCGACTCGAGTCCGAGTCTCAGACTCGAGTCCCCATCTCTGCTACGTACTGAAGGCGCACATTAGAATATGAAATGTTGTATGTGGGACATAATGGTGGCAAAGAACTGAAATTGTCATGCATCACAATATGTGTGAATATGTGCACTCTATGTGTATGCTACAGTACTGATGGGTTTCTGTCCCTCATCAGGATGCATGTGCAGCTTTACTCCTGGAGCTCCAGCTGGAAGTGGATCGCAGTGGGGTACCTGCAGCAGGGAATCCTGGAACGTGTCGGTCAGGCGGGGGGGCGGGCTTCATCCTGGTGATAGACGGCCGGACCCTGGACTGGGCCCTGCAGGACGACCTGAAGGAGGACTTCCTGCTGCTAAGCTGCAGCTGCAAGGCGCTGCTCTGCTGCAGGTCCACCCCGCTGCAGAAGAGCCAGGTGGTGCGGCTGGTCCGGGACCAGCTGGCCGTCATGACCCTGGCCGTGGGTAAGAACAGGTGGAAGAAGAATTCAGATGCACTACCTGAGTAAAAGTACCACTACATTATTGTCAAAGTACTTAATTACATGTAAAAGTCCTGCATTTAAATACTTACTTAAGTAAAAATACAAAAGTATTATCAGCAAAATGTACTTAAAGTATAAAAAGTAAAAGTAATCATTGGCCTTTATGTGTGTATATAATTATATTTATAAAACGGACAAGTCAAATCAAGCAATCAGATTGGTTCTTAGCCGTGATATACTGAGCGTATACCACGGGTAGAATTGTAAGTTACTTTTCACAACAAGTCAGTATCCCTCCGCGTCTGAGAAAAACAGTATACCGTTGGGCTGAAAAGCAAACTGCCTGCCTGCCTCCGCTTCGCGTCGGGCCGAACCACGCCCCTTAGCTGTGAGATAATGAGCATATACCACGGCCTGTCGTGAGCTATTGCTTAATTATATATGTGACATTTCTAGATAATGTTGTTGCAACAAGTAGCATTTTACTCTTGTAGACAAAGTTCTGATTGACTTTTTGTAAAATAGTTAAATAATCTGACACTTTGTGATGAGTTAGTCCACTAGTTTATGCATTGCGTTCAGAGTATATAAAGCTGTAAAACAAATGTAGTGGAGTACAATTATTATGTTTTCCTTTTAAATGAAGTGGAGTAGAAGTATAAAGTAGCATTAAATGGAAATACTCAAGTAAGTACAAGTACCTCAAAATTGTATTTAAGTGCAGTACTTGAGTAAATCTACTTGGTTACTTCCCACCTCTGAATACCACTGGGAAGATTAACCTAGTTCTTTGTAAATGAAAGATTCCCTTAAAGTCTATTTGTATTCTTTATTTTAAACTATCCCTCAGCTATAAGCACGAGTCAGGTCAGTTATTATCAGGCCGTCAATACCAGGACATAAGATTTCAATTAGATAGTGACTGTAGGCCAACTGGATCAAATCTTAAATGATGTGATATTCTGTGTGCGTACCTAAATGTGATGAGTGTTTTTGGTTCAACAAGGTGATGGAGCCAATGATGTGAGCATGATCCAGGAGGCTGATGTGGGCATCGGGATCTCTGGACAGGAGGGGATGCAGGTGAGGACTTCACTTTACGTCTTTATGACAGACTCAGGGGGGGCTTCATTCTGCCAGTAATCTACTGCTTCTTACTATTTAATAAAACATCTCAAAAAAAGTTTATAACTAGTGTGCAGGGGATTACCCAATAGCGATAGCCTTAGAGGGCTACGCCTATACTCATAGAAGCTGGGGTTACAGTAGGTCCCTTTTTCCCGGTTATCAACCCTACACTCTAACCCTAACCCGATGACAGCTATATCAAATGGAAAAGATAACAACTTAAAACTTGCCTCACATAAGCAGAGGGAGAAGACAATTATAGACATCAACTTTCATGTCAGTACCACTTCACATTCCTGAGTTATGTGAGGATCATCCCTTTTTTTTAACAATAACTTTATTTATTTAGCACCTTCCATGCATGATGCATCCTATAGTGCTTTACAGAGCAAGATAAGATGCAGTAAAACAATAACAATGAGTAAAAATCAATAAGAGTAACACATAATATTACAAAAAAGTTATAAAAACAAAACGGAATAAGATAAAGATCGCAAAACAATAAAACCGACCAATTCCAAGGGAGTTAGTTGATCTAAGATCTAAGGGAATTATTATGGCAATCCATGACAGCTATATCAAAGATAGAAGCTAGAGCCCCCCAAACTCAGACACATAAATGCAGGAAGGAGACAATAACACACCAAATGTCATGATGCCCCCCCTTACTGTCATCCCTGTTGCCCTACCCTAAAACAACCATAATCATTTTTGAATTGGAGTCATCAACAGCTGTATGAAAAGAAGCAGCTAGAACATGTTGTCTCTGTGTGTCGTTCCCCAGGCGGTGATGTCCAGTGACTTTGCGATCTCCAGGTTCAAACACCTGAGGAAGCTGCTGCTGGTCCACGGTCACTGGTGCTACGCTCGACTCGCAAACATGATCCTCTACTTCATCTACAAGAATGTGGTACGAGTTATTTTCAGAAGTCATGTTTTTTAAGACTGGTTAAGAGACTAACAGTAGGGGAAGTTGCACAATAACTCTATTCTCAGAAATACTGGATATGAACAATCCAAATATTTTACTCGTATGATTTAAAGGTCCCCTATTATACTCTTTTTCAACCCTATATTATAGGTCTCATATATATGTACAAAACATGTCTCTGAAGTGACACCAAACAGATCATTACAGCATCCCATAATCCCCTGTTTCAGCCCTGTTCCAAAAGTGCTGATTCTGTGTCTGTAGCTTTAAATGCTAATGAGCCGCTGATGGCCACGCCCCTCTGAGAGATGATTGGTTAAAAAGAACACAATGGTGCTCTAGGAGGAGATTCAGGTGATACAGTGGGGGGGGGGTTACCTTGGTTGGTTATTGGCTAATGGTTACACAAGCCAAAAAAACATTGTGACATCACAAAGTGACCGAAATCTGATCAGCTCATTTTCAAACAGGTTTTTATATAGATGGATCATGTGAAGCTGACCGTTGAGCGGCCCGACCAAGCAAGGAGGCAGAGGCAGAACGTCCAAAATACAACCCGGTGTGGGCATTTATTACTCACAAACATATGACACAGCCTCAATCTGCTGTTCACGTGAGCAGTCACCAGCCACAAGGATCTCACACACACTACCACCCACACAGACAGGGAAACAGAGCCTAAATACCCACACACTAATGGTAAATGGACTGTAAATGGACTGTACTTATATAGCGCTTTATCCAGTCTTTAAGACCCCTCAAAGCGCTTTACATACTACATGTCATTCACCCATTCACACCCATTCATACAGAGCAGTGTACCTTACTCTAGGAACTAACATGCATACACATTCACACACCGTTGGCCATGCCATCGGGAGCAACTCAGGGTTAAGTATCTTGCCCAAGGATACATCGACATGTTGACTGCATGGACTGGGATCGAACCCACAACCTTCTGGTTGAAAGACGACCGCACTCCCTTGCAGCCACAGTCGCCCTAATCAGCAATTAGACACAGGTGGGGGGGGGGGGGGGCAATTAGACACAGGTGAGGGGGGAGGAGACAACACAGGGCACCAGGTGAACACAATCAGGAGCAACAGACAAAACGGGTTTGGGGAACACCCCCAAACCAAACCACATGTGCAATGTTACAAGGCCCGAAGCCGTCAGTCCACAGTCACAGATCAGGAACAAAAGAGAGAGAATATTTATTTCCTCCTCCTGTAGCCTCGACATCATCCCGACAGGATTTTTCAAAACTGTTTTTCATTGCTTGGCCTCAGATATACTACACATAGTAAACAAGTCTCTTCAATCAGGTGTATTTCCGCAGGCCCTGAAAACTGTAGTAATTAAACCTCTCCTAAAAAAGCATAACCTAGACAAAACCATAATGAATAATTACAGGCCAATATCAAACCTTCCCTTTTTAAGCAAATTGATTGCCTTTCAAAGCACCCAAGGACATCTTACAATTCATAACATATTCTAAGGAAAGGTTTAAGACGGTACAAAAGGACTATAACAGGGAACATGTTGGGAAACAGGAGACATGGAGCACTACAGTGAGTAGGCTGATCTGAACTGGTGGGTTTTGAGGCGGGGGTGGGGACAGTTAGCAGGCCAGCAGAGGAGGAGCGGAGGGAGCGAGAGGGGGTAGGAGGTCAGCCAGATAGGTGGGGGCCAGGTTGTGGAGGGCTGTGAATGTGAGCAGGAGGGTTTTGAAGTCTATTGGTATGTTACAGGTAGCCAATGCAGACGGATGCATAGACGGGGGTGATGTGGTCAGAGGACTTGGTGCGGGGGATGATCCGGGCAGCAGAGTTCTGAATGATTTGAAGTTTGATGGGAAGGCCTGAGTGCATGGTATTACAATAGTCAATACGGGATGTGAGGAATGCATGAACCAGGACTTCAGTGCTGAGACAGGGCGGAGTCTGGAGAAGAATGCAGTCCGGGTGATGTTTTTTATGTGGGGTGCAGATGAGAGGGAGCTGTCCAGAATGACACCAAGATGTCGTGTTTGAGTTGTGCTCTTGATAAGCCATTAAAACAGTCAAATAAGTGTCTCCTGTTCACCAACACATACCCATCTGTTAGGGGGAAATAAAGTATTCCAAAAGTATTCTAAAAGTAATCTGAATACGTTTTAAGACAGGTAACTGTATTCGGAATCTGATTACTTTCAGAGCCATGTATTCAGTATTCAGGCACTCATTACATTTACAAAGTAACCCTCCCCACCCTGGTTCTGCTTGTAAACCATGTTAACTGTAATCAACTCCTCATTCATATCGTGTACATGTGCGTTGCAGATGTTTGTGAATCTGCTGTTCTGGTATCAGTTCTTCTGTGGTTTCTCTGGGAGCGTGATGACCAACGCCTGGGTGCTCATCCTCTTCAACCTGCTCTTCACCTCCGTGCCTCCTCTCCTCTGTGGCGTGCTGGACCGACACACTGCCGCACACACACTGATGCAGCTGCCCCAGCTCTATAGCGCCTCCAAGGTGACTGAACACACAAACAACAACTGCTTAATAAAATGTTTTCCTACAATAACTCAGTTTAGAGCTGAAAGAGAGCAGAGTGATCAGAGCAGAGTGATCTCCACATTAATGACCTGTTATGGCACACCCGCTGAACCTCATGTTGATGGCTTCTCAGAAATCTAGTGCATTGGTGCTGTGTTGATGTATTTTTGTAGGTCAGACCAGAAGTTCCCTCAACAAAAAGCAATGGGATTTTTCCTTTAGATTTTGGAACATTGCAGAAAATATGCTGTTTCAAACCCATGTTGTGTTTCTCTGCAGGTCTCTGTTCCCCACATGTTCTGGGTCACAGTCCTGGATGCCTTTTACCAAAGCCTCGTCTGCTTCTTTGTGCCTTACTGTGTAAGTACAATGTCAACCCTCGTGGCATGTCAAATATGTACTTCCTTTGCCGCTCTTTACATGGTGGGCAAGGGTCTCCTATGCAGAGGTTATAACCCCTGCGTAGGAACAGTACGCAACTTCCGACTCAAACATTTTGATTAATAAAAACAAACTTGACAGGAAAATGTGCGCACCTACAGTGTAAAGGAAATTATAACCCATTTGTACACTTGTTTTTAAAGCAGAGTGAGGTGGTGGGGTGAATAATGACAAATCACACAATTAATTTTGCTTCACATCACACCTATACCTCATAGATATGTAAACCTGCAGTGTTGATTGTGCTTATAAGCCATGACTGTAAGCATAGTTTAAATGTAAAAGTTGTTTTTAAATGAGACCCCTGGTCATTTAGCTGCCTGTCAAAGTCTCTAGCTGTGTCTCTATTCGGGTATTAATGTACTTACATGTGCTGATTTGAGTGCATAGGTTCATACCATTGCAAAGTGAACTATGAGTACCCGAGATGTGCACTCATAACAGTCAAAACGTTTAGCATCCGTGTGTGTTTTAAGACAAGGCTACACGGTCTAGATTCACACACTGCACACGTGTTCACATTGCAGTGTACTAAGGGAATTACCCAGTATGAGACATGCTCTTCTTCTGTGTACTGGTCCTCCACACTGCTGCTAGGAAGGCTTGTTGTTACTATCAAAAAAAGAATATGATGGCATCAAATATATATCTCGTAGTAATAACCCCAGTGTTGTGATTTTCAGGCGTTTGCAGGGTCAAGCGTCAGTGTGCTCTCCTTCGGCTCTCCCATCAACGCCTCCGCCCTCCTCATCATCCTGCTGCACCAAGTCTTCGAGAGCCCCACCCTGGTCAGACACTCTACAGCTGTCAGCCACTCCAGTCATTCATTGTTTGGTGTTCTGTAAGGAAAGCAAAGAATGGAAGTGTGTGACATTAGGTGTGTGTGTTGCAGACGTGGATCCATGCCCTGGTGTGGCTGCTCAGCGCTGCCTCCTACTTCGGCTTTGTGCTGCTCTTCGGTTTGTTCTGTGTGACCTGCAGCCCCCCCACCAACCCTCTGGGGGTGGAAACACTCCAAATGTCTGACCCACTTTTCTACATCATATGTGCCCTTACCACTGTGACAGCGCTGATACCCAGGTACACACACTGCACATAAACACACCATCAAACACTACACACTGAAGACTGAATACGTCTCGACAGGTTAAGACTCCACATATTAACACCACTTCACTTCAGCATCGCTAAGTTAAAGACAGCTAAAGTGCAGTCATTTAGTCACTTGTTGACCACCATTTTTTTAATTCTCTGGTGGGGTATTAACTTATCTATTTTATGTCGTAAAACAAAATGTGAAACTCTCTTAAGCTTATGTGAACCACAGCCTTTATTTCAGGCAGGTAACCAAACACGCAAAATATCTTTTAGGACTCATTCCTGCTCCACTCTATGTGAAATGTAATGTACTGCATTCTTTTAGTTTTTGTCCTGTTTGCCCTTACTTTGTCTCCCTTCCTCTGACACTACTGCAAAGCCATCAAATTAATCCAACATATATTCAATCTTTCTTCATATCGTAATATACCTGTGATGAGCTCAAATGAGCCGATCACTGACCCTGTTGGTCCACTTCTCCTCTGCAGGCTGCTGTTCCGAGCTCTGTTCAACACTTTACACCCCTCCGCTGTTCTGAAATCAGCTCAGACGGACAGAGAGGATTCTGAGAATTACCGGAGGAAAATGCAGCGCTGGAATCAGAGCCGGCCCAAAAACAGGCTGCCAGTGTGTGCAGACAACCCGGGCCTGGAGCCCTGCTCAGACACAGTGTCCTGACACACACACACACACACACACACACACACACACACACACACACACACACACACACACACACACACACACACACACACACACACACACACACACACACACACACACACACACACACACACACACACACACACACACACACACACACACACACACACACACACACACACACACACACACACACACACACACACACACACAGAGCTGACAGTTCAGAAGACATGCTGGATGTAATGATAATCATGTGACCTCCACTCACCAGTTATTTATTTAACAATGATAATTTTGCTACATGCAAGCAACCAAATAACTTTGGCAAAGATAATTTAAAAGAAAATTGGACACATTCTTCACTCACATTTCAGATGAGTGTGTGTTTAATATCTCACCAAGCTTTATTGAAGACAATCTGTGAACCATGACATGTAGAATCATGAATCTTCTGACATTTTTCATAAATGAGTTTGACCAAACTTCACACTTTGTCATATATAATAAATATGACACAGGGTTTCTTTCGTTTCTTATTCAGACGTGGTATGCAGAGTTCACTAAATGCATGTGCAGTAATCAGAATCAGAATGTATGGTATGAGTCAAATCACTGTTTAGCTGTATATGTTTCAGATAACTGAGTTATAGAATGAGAAATGAACAACTATGAATCAGAATTTAGCTGTAATGAGATTTAATTTATTTTTTAACAGATGGCACTGATAATGCTATCATACTGGTTGACATTTCAACACACAGCACTAGCATCCCAGTGGAGTGCTATGTGTCCCCCTATGAATGTAAGTTGAATATGTATTGGAGCTCTGGTCAATCAACTGCTGAGAGGAAAATCTGGCATTGAAGCCGCTGCTGGAAATAACCGACTTTGTGTTTAATTTGTCATTGCATTTTGGTGGTGCGCAGGTAGCATGTGGCTAAAGTTAGCTGTGTGTCTACGTTCTTAAACTATACAAATTCGATAAAATCGAAAATCCAACTAACTGCTGTCAACCAAAACACGTGTTCTTCCTCTTTAAGGCTGCATTTGTAAATACTCCAAGGGCCCAAGTACACTCTGGTTCAAAGTAAAACATTGGACAGCGCTGTTGGAATGTACTTTGGGATATTCATAGCGGCTCACTGTTTGAGCAACAGAGTACCAAGCGCAGTGAATGTGTGAAAGATACTTTTTTTGCAATACTGTTTAACCAAACAGTAAGCTAGTTAGCTCTCTAGCTGGCATAGGCATGCATGTTCTCAAAATTAGCTAAAGTTCACAGTAGCCTACATTTTCTTATTTATTTTAATAGCTTGCTACCTAGCTTACGTTTTCTCAACTTTAGCTAACTTTAGCAATAGCCTACATTTTATTTAGTTTCATAGCCATATTGTCTACAGGCTATATCATGTCACATCATAATTGTCTGTTATGTTGTCATCCTCGGGCACTCACTATATTTTTCACATTTTTATTTAAAACATTCAAACTTACCTGTTGGTAAATTCATATAGACAGGGCCCCTCCCAGAGATGGGGTCGTTACTAAAAAAAAGTAATATATGACATATTACATATTACTTTTAAAAAAAAAAGTAATATATTACACTACTTCGTTACTCTCTCCATAAAGTAACTCGTTACTTTACTCGCAGGGCCAGCCCGCCCCTCCCTGCAGGCAGATCACGCTGACTGCTAAAGTTTCAAATGTTCTCTTTAGTTCAGTTTCCATTGTCGCATAAGACTGATCCAGATAGCTCCTGAATGTTTTCCTATCTGACCGTGGCTGTCCTCTGTCTCCTGCTATCTGTAGATTTTGTGCAGTCTATCTCTGCTCGCGCTGTTGCGTCGGCGTGTTCTCCTGCGTGTTGGTCATGTGTTGCACTGGAACCAGACTGGAACACACCGCAAAGACTTCAGCCGAGCACGTACGAACTGCGCATGCGGTGGCAATAACTCTCCTTACCAGCAGGCGGCGGTAGTGTGTATTCGTCATTCAAAACAGGCAACAACCAGAAAACAGAGCAGAAGAACAGACTATGTGATATAAACAAACAACAAATAGCTGTGCGTTAGCTTCACCTTAGCATGTGTTCTTTGCAGGTGTTTGATTATGACTGATTTTAGCAAGTAACGAAGTAACGCGTGTCGGGGCAATGTTAGTAACTGTAGTGTGATTACTGAATTATAAAAGTAGCGCGTTACACTACTCCATTACCGACAAAAGTACCCAACTCTGGCCCCTCCCTACAGGCAGATCACGCAGACTGCGTGACAAGTTGACCAGGGGCGGCACTGCATATAGAAATAGAACACTGTGTTTCTTCAAACAACTGCTCCCTTACTTTAGTTTTATATTTGTAATATTTCAACCCGTATTGAAATAGTGTGGTTTATTTACATCCTAACTGCAGTTAAACAAGGTTGCAAGAAATACAGTGATTCATTTTAAAGGGCAGGGTAAGTTATGTTGTGTTTAACCTCTAGAGACGAACAGATCATGTTTACTTTGTTCATACTGTTTTCACATGCAGTGTTACATTGTTGGAGATATTGTTGCATTTCTTCATTGTTTTTGTTTTTTGCAGTTGATTTGAATTCATTTGAAATAAATTCAGTCTGGATGTACACTGTGATGGATTGCACCACATATTTGTTGTCAGATATTGTGTTAGAATTAGTAATGGTGGAAACTGGTTGATTCCTGGAATTATACATCAACATCTGTATAATGTCAAAAGGTTATTACTGATGTAAGGAGCAAGACATTAGACAGTCATGTGAGATTTGACAGGGCTGTTGTACATTTTATATGAAATGCTATAATTTCTCAATTCGAACAAAGACCATCTTAGATTAAATAACCTTCAACCAAATGAAGAAAAGCAACCTGACACTCCTGCTAAGCCTCATGAGTTTCAGTGCGATAAAAGTTCTTCAGATTCTAGTACCCTTAGGCGCTTTCACACTGCGGTACTTTTCCCACAAAGGTTCATGTGAACTTAGTTCATGTGAACTCTTTTATCGCATTCACACCAAAAAGAGCCGGTACTAAAATTAGTTAATGTGAACCTTTTTACCCCCTCGAAAGTCCCTGCTAGAGAGCAGGGACTTTCGAGCGGCTCTTTTGTGAGAAAAGAGCTACATTTCTGATTGGCTGGAAGGATTGCAAACCACGCCCCGCAAAACTCCCAAAAAGTTTTTTGAAGCCGCCATTTTATTATCCTCGCATTAGCATTATTAGCATTAGCCCAGCGCAGAAACGCAGAGAGACTAACTTATGGCAACACAAAATAAAACATGGGAGCGGTGGAGATGAGGAGGTGTCGGCGTTCTGGCGATTTACTCGGAAGGCTTCAGTAGAAGGTGCTGGGAGTCCCAGCAGCTTCTACTGAAGCCAGTCCCTAACTCCGGGGACTTCCGGCCGGGGACTTTGGGTGGCAGTATACGCCGTGAAGTGGTTTGCGGCCTGCCAGTAAACCCAAAGCAGAAGAAGAACAAGTGACGTCAGCGGCTTCATTTGCCTAATCCACCCCCAGGGACTTTTTCCAGTGTGAACGCGATCTGTACTTAGTTCATGCGAACTAAAGAGTTCTCATGAACTAAGTTCACATGAACCTTTGTGGGAAAAGTACCGCAGTGTGAAAGCGCCTCTTGTCAACCCTTTTGGTTTGTAATTTATGTGTAGACTTCTTTTTATACATTCACACGATAGAGGCACACGTGGAGTCCAATTCAGCACATGTAAAATGTAATTTTCACATTGTATTGTGTTTCATGTTTAACATTTAATATCAGCAAGTGATCAATGATATAAAATCAGTTTTGGAAGAATTCACACATCAACATATGACGTCTTTTTGTTGTAACCAGAGAATCGAGGACCCATGTGCAGTCACAGAGGATTGAAGTTAAAGAAGGAAATGTGTTGTATTGTAATCTTTGTAGAGAGTGGAGACGTGACATTGTGTTCAGGAGGATTTGCTGGAGGGAATAATGATGATGGTGGAGGACCTGCAGAGGGTGGCAGGTGATGATCTGAGCAGGAGAATAAGATAAGTCACGCACACAAAAAGCAACAATAACTATCACTAAGTTAGTGTGTGGATGTGCAGCGTACACAGTGTGCATGTCTCACCCACAGGTGTGGATGGTATGCTAATTGCCTAAAACCTGAGAGTAGTGATAGACACTTGGTTAGAGGCATTGGTGAGGGGGCCAACAGGGGCCAGTGCCCCTGTAAAATCTGGGACCCCCCTGTGGCCCCCCTCCAAAATAATCTTTGGTAATACCATCTTTGATAGCATTGCGGTTTTGTGTGTTTAGTTTAGTTTTTATAATTGTAATTTATTTTTAAAAATTACCTGAGTTATTTACACCAATTCTGTAACTGAACTAAACTAAAAATGTATATTTTGTCCAGCTCAAATGTGCCCCTCTAATAAAATAACTGGCCCCAGGATTCCCCCCAGTACAATCAATCTATAAGTTAATGTAGGTCGACCTGCATGGTTCTTGCCCCTTTGTGGTTTTATCCAAATGCTTAAATGTGATTTGAAAGTTGCTTTTTATAAATAAAAGGAGTTAAATAAGTCAGTATCAGGTGGGCCTGTTTCATATTTCAAAAACATGAAAATAACACTTTTTATAAATAAGTATTTCCTCTAGACAGAGGTGGAAGAAGTATTCAAAAATATCTACTTAAAGGTGGGGTATGTAATTTTGGAGAAACCAGCTCGAGTGCGCTAGAATTTGAAACTACGCAGCCGAAACAAATCTGCCTCTTCCTTCAGACTTCCTTATAGAGCCCCTCCTCCAACACACATGAACGCGCACATGACCAATGAGGGCACGAGATAAGTTTGTGCACAGATGGAAGGCTGACAGGCAGGTAGGCCATCCAGTTATTTTAGCCGGGCCGGCTAAAATGATTGGTCGTGCTTTTTACAGCGCTACGGCTGTATTTATTGTCAAAGTGTTTCATATATTCATTGCTATCGGGCTGTTAAGAGCATTCCATGGAATATAACAAAAAGTGTTTCTGAAATAAATGACATACCCCACCTTTAAGTACAGTACTTGAGTAAATGTACCATACTGATATTAATACTACAGTGTGAAAAAAATACTACTATAATATGAATACTCAGTTACAATTAAAATCCCTGAATTCAAAATGTACCTAAGTAAAAAAAAAAAAAAAGTATTGGCATACAAATGTACTTTAAGTGGCAAAAATAAAAGTTCTTGTTATGCAGAATGGCTATAATTTAGGCACCATATGCTTTTAAATTATTGTATAAAAATGATTGGTAATTAATGTGTTCATTACTTCACTAAAAGAAAAGGTGGGGTTTTTTTGTATTACTTTATCTACAATTAGTTAGCTTAACGTTTAATAATATATGATGGCGTATAATTCTGCAAAGTAACTAAATAGGTTAAAAAAATGTAATGGAGTAAAAAGTACAACTTTGCTCACAAAATGTAGTGGTGAGCAAATGTATAAAGTAGCATACAATAAAAAATACTCAAGTAAAGTACAAGTACTTAAGTAAAAGTACTTAGTTACATTCGACCACTGCCTCTAATAGGCGTGTCTGACTAAGTTGAACACGTTCACTCTTTCACTATAGAGTGGTGAAGTCACGCCCATCTTCCGGTCCATGGGACCTTATTTCTGAAAAATAATGTATTGAAGTCAATGAAGAGAGAAAACGTATCTTTCGATCCCGTTTGAATTGTGCCATGAATTACACATATGATGTTTGTCAATCTTAAAAAATTATTTCCATGTCAAAAAAGTCACAGTTTGTCTTAAAACTGTTGAAATATAAGACTATGAAAAATACGCAACTAGAAAGACTACAAATCCATGTAAATCCATGACGTCATAACTGATGTCACAATTGTTTTCCTCCACTAAATAAGAAATAGCTAAGATAAGATAACTTTAACAAGATGCCTGTGTGCTTAGTACCAGGTTGTTATCATACCAGAAATGGGTCTTGCTCGTTCTTTCGCTTCCCATCTGATGAAAGGACCAGGGCTGCAGTCGAATAGTCCATTTAGCTTAGGAACCTTCCTAACGGAGTGAAATGACCCGGAAGTACCTCAGTGGCAGCCATGATAAGTGCCGTTCGAATTCTAGATAGGAAAGGAGGTTTCAAACTTCCTTTATAACCTCCTTTAGCTTAGGAATCACTGGACCTCCCTCACCGAAAGGAGAGGAGAAAATGCTGCCCCACAATGCCTTGCAGCCGCAGCATTTGCCGTCACACAACATTCGGCCGTTCACGGAAACAAACGATTATGATGGAGAAATTATATCATGAACGTTACGGTGCTTATTAATTATTCGACTGCAGCCCAGGAGTGGCTGGATCAAGTTAGCTACCTAGCTAGTAGCAAGCACGTTAGTTAGTATTACAGCCTTAGTCTTGTCATTTGTATTAGCCACACAAGGACGAAAACGGCTAAACGCATAGGATTAACAGAAACGCAATCGCAAAAAAGCTTCCGTCCACACGCAATATTCACCGGATAGTGTCTGTCCACACTAGTGATGTGTCGGTCGCGAACGAG